TGAAGCACAGAGAAGTTAGGTTCACACGGCTCATATGCAGAATTTCTGGAAACCGAATCCTGCAACCAGTGGCTCCAGAGTTTATGTTCTTAATCTAACTTGTGTATAATATTTTATTCTGCTTACTTTTGTTTTCTGATTTACCCAGATGATGTCATCTTTTCTATATATGGGGTGCATGGGGGCTAACTGGAAATTCTGTCTTGAGAGTGATGGGTCATATAAGAGCTTATTTTGAGAGGCAGGATATTTATTACAGCTCTTTGTGAATTTATGATTGGCCAGGTGGAATAGTGGGTGGGATTATATGGCATTTATGCAAAATAGCCTCACATAACAGCCCTAGTTGTATTAAAACTAAACTCATGCTGTGGCCTGGAAATGTTGCAGATATGCAATTGTTCTTCTCCCTACCTTATCTTTTATGCATAGGGAGTTCAGATTTTGTCATTTCATTATCATCAGCATCATAAAGTCCATGAAGTTCTTTGGTGGTTTGACACTTTCCTAGTGATTTAGTTGTTTGAGGAATACCCATAGATCCTCATAATTCTGTATGTGTGGCCTAAAGCTATTCTGTTGTACTAAACGGCTTCCAGTCTTTATATTGAGATATAAATTTGGTCCTAAGTTCTCATCTTACTTCCTCTGAAGGGTCCTTGAAATTGCTTTCAAGGAAAACTCCACATTCTAATGGACCAAAGGTGAATTAGATTGCCTGCTACCTTTTTCTTTGAGAACCTCTTTAAGAAACAAATAATATGGGATACTGTATATATTGTGCTTGCTTAATCTGTTATAGGAATGGCTTCGATTAAAGCTTTATTCCAAATCAGCAGCTTGACAAAATGGTCCTCAAAATGCCTAACCCCCTCATTTCAAAAGTGTCCTTCAGAATTTCATGTCTGAAAAGGTTCCTGATTATGGGCATCCATTCATGAAACAAATATTTCCTAAGTGCCCTTCTCCATGTACAGGCCTTGTGACTACAGTTTTAATGAATAAAAGACATGGCCTCCTCCTAGAGCGTACAATCTATGTGTTCCAATTTATTGTAGTAAGCGTAAAGTGAGAATTACAAAGGTTCAAGAAAACACTATATAGTAAACCATTTTGGCTAAGTTACCTTTTAGAATTCTAGAGTCTTTTGATGCTCTAACGTTCTAGTCTAGTGCTCTCATTTTCCAGGTGAAGAAAAAGTGAGACCAAACAAGTGATACAAATTAATTGTAAGAGAATGACAGGTGGGTCCAAGCAAGAGCCCATGGCTCCTTGTGGTCATCGCTGTAAAGAGGGAGCAGGCCCTATCTTTGTGTCATGTGCATGTAAAATACGTACTTGTATACCAACATTCCAGAAGTATCTTTGCTTGAAAAACGAGGACCACATCTTTATTAACCCATTACTTCTCTAACTCATGCCATTCCATATGTACTTACCCATAAGCGCAGAATTGAGGTTGTCATTTATTCAAATGACGACATTAGCAATACTTGCAGTTATTTTAACTGAAACTGTTTAAACTGTGGTTCTTTTTCAAGTGATTGACAAGTCAGTGATGAGTATCTGGAAGTCAGAAAACTCCAAGGTACAGATCTCAGAATCCACAGGAGAGGGACATAAATGCTAATTACACATTGACTTTAATTCCTAATTTGTCATAAGCCGCCTGCAGGTGTGTGTCTTGGCTGTGGGCTAGTCTCAGGGCCTCATTTGTATGAGATTTTCTTTAATAATTTTGCCTCCCCAATGAGCTCTTTAATCTCTTATTTTCAACTCTCTTTTCTAGATATAGGAAAAATCAGTTCGCAGATAATGTAGCTTTTGGTTCTTTCTGAAGATTAAAGTTCTTTTGTTTGTTTGGGGGCAGTTCTTCCCATGGATCTCCTTCAGAGACATTTTTGGGATAGCACATCTTTTGGCCTTCTGAACTGGAAGATGAGATTCTCAGGTGTTCAGTTTTGTTTGTGTCTCCTTACCGCGCATTTTCCTCGCCCCATCATCACCACCGCCACCACCGCTACTCAAGTGGCCTTGACAAATTGGCACTCCCTCTGGGTAGGGAGCTGATGTTACTCTGTGCAGTGGATTTGGCATTGAAGAGAAGGCTTGGCATTGGTAGGTGCAAGGTAACCTTGAGCTTTACTTAATTCATTTTTAAGCAAGGATTATTTCCGTCCCAGAATTAGAATTGAGGGCTTGAGCTTATTAGATGTGAGTGAAAACAAAGATATGTGGAACTCTTTCCTCATCACAATATATGACTTCCCACCAAATGCCCCAGATTGGACCATATTCGGTGGCTGTGCTCTTTTTAAACACGGCCCCGAGTTACTTCCCATTCCAAGATGTGGGCACCCTTGAGGTTTAGCTCCTGTACACTGATTTTCTGTGTGATTTTGCCATGACTTCAGCAGATATCCAAGTGTGCTTCTGGCCATCTTCCCGATTCTTCTGTACCTTAGCTGTGAGACCTTGCCAGAAGGGAGAGACAGCATGGAGAGAACTTCTTTTCCTCCACTGGATCGAGTCAGCCATGCCTACTGTGTGGAGACGTCCTGCTTCTTGCCCTGTCTTTGGCTGCATATGAGTTGTTCAACCCCACCCTGGTCTGATCACATTCCTCAGGGTGACCCATCTCTCCTTAGCTTTAGACAAGTTGATAAGACCCAGCAATAATTTCAGTGTAGGCTCCTGACTTTAGGAGTCATCGTAATTTCTTCTTTTCTGTATTGTTGTATTGTGATAGTACCTCTTACCTTCAGCTCTTAATTGGCTTACTCTCTGATATGACGTCTTGTTGCTTTTAAAATGTGATTAGATGGAATGTTGAAGTGAGTGATCTGACAGTTGGAATTTTGAGGCAGCTGTCCTTTTCAAAATTTCCGTATTCATTTTTAAATGATTTTTTGAGGAACGGACAGTTTGAAAGGATTTTAATGGTGCTCACCAGCAGTGTGGCTGAACTTGATGCTTGTGCTATATGCTGTCTTTGGCCTAATCAGTGGGAACTAAAGGTGTGTTTAGGAAATGGGATTCTAGACTTTCAGGCTGTGGGATGGCTTCAGGCTACTTGACCCATTGTGTCTCTTCAGTACAGGTATGTAAACCTTGGCTGTGACCAAAACTAGGCACATACCATAATTCTATAAAACAGACCCTGTATGTTTGCTAAGGAATACCATGTATTTGTTTCTTTTGACACATAAACATGTTTATCTTGAAAGGATTTGTAAGGAAAAAGCATTGCTCCGTATGTCCATAATCCATACATTTAGCGTATGCTGGGATTAACTAGCTTTCCTGTTTGCTAGGATTAACTAGCTTTCCTGTTTTAGGCTCCTGACTTCCTAATCTATTTGTAATATATATCCTTTCTTAACTCAGAACCTAAAGGTTCCTCTGGTCCATTCTAGCCTTTTTCTTTTTTTTCAAAACTTTCTAACTCTAACTTTGTTGGTATTGGGTGTAGTTAGCTGTGTCATTTTGATTCATATACTGTGAAACTGGTCCCAAGCATCTTTGTGATCGTCATCTTGTTTGTTCTTCTTGATAGTTTTTAACTTTTGCAGACTGAAATTATATACAGTTTTCCTGTAGAGGCATTTCACATTTTTTAAATCCTGATTTTTTCAAAGGAGTCTGAAGAGTTAAAGAACTGCTTTACCATAATGTGTCGAAGTCTTGCAGGAATGTTGCAAACCTCTGCTCTGTCAAGTATAATTTCTGTGGGGCCTTAAATGTTCAGCCGTTTGTCTCTCTTTTGTTATCAGTCACTTTTTTAAAAAATAAACTTTTTTTTT